ACACACACACACACACACACACTGAGGCCAGCTGTTGCACTGAGTCAGAGACCCCAAAACACCCCAACATCAAAAAGATTAACAGGTGCATGGTTCAGTCTCTTCCCTTCAACTGAAGGGTTAATACATCCTGAAAGAATTCATGCCACCCATCTCATGCCAGAGTTTTAGACTTAGGTCTGTTAATGGAAAAATAAAAACAATTATTGACAATTTGATCAGAACTTGACAATAAAGATATGCATGTGATATCACCAGAACTTCAATAAAAGCATAGAAGAGGGAGATGGTTCACAAAAAAAAGTACGAGCAGACGCCACAGGACACTGTGTTGGTCGGCAGCCAGCAGCTGCCAGCATGAGAGGGTTAGAGTTAAAAATAATTAGGGGTGTCGTACTTACTCACTAATACCGAGTATTTACTAATTTAGAGCCTAAACATTACACGACGACTTTAAAACACTTATTTTTAAATTTAGAGCAAGGTGTCTCTGCTTCCTCACCGGCCTACAGCCCCTCTGTCTGGATCAGATCAAACAAACAGCATAATAAATACTGTTGAAACAATTTAAAATGAATACAAATAAATTTGATTTTATTTCATTTTATGTAATTTTCTTAGACATGGAACTGACAAATTAAACTGTAACACATTCAGTGGAATAGTATTGATACCAGTATTGGTTCCAGGTATCAAGGTATTTGTATGAGTACTTGTAAAAATGCTGGTGTCGGTACCAGTAAATGTGTACCAGTATCTGGTTTGGGGGACCAGTTTGAAAGAGTTTTGCTTTAACATGCAGCTGATGTTCCTGTCAGGAACCTTTTAAAATGAAAAAAATATTAATAAAACAGGGAAAAAAAACTTTAACCTTTTTCTGTTTTGAAAATGAGCAGCTGTGGTTCAGTGGTAGAGCAGCTGACTTGGGACCAGAAAGTCACAGGTTTGATTCCCCACCATGTCCACACGTCGTGGTGTCCTTGAGCAAGACACGTAATCTTAACTGCTCCCTGGGCGTTCACATAGCTGCTGCTTTTATGTGTTTCTCACGTGGGCTGGGTCAAATGCAGAGCACAATACACATTATTACACATTATAAAGAAAAGTGTTCTTGTTCTGCCAGTGTTTCAGTGTGAACAGTGAAAGGTACAGTTTAACATTTATTTTCATTTTTTTATTTATTAATTTCACTTCATTAAAAAATAAAATAATAATAATAAAAAATAAAATACAAAACAAAAATACAATAAAATAAAATAAAAAATAATATAAAATACAAAAAACTAATAAAATGATTTGATTCATAAACTTTATTCATTTCATAAAACATAAAAAACAATTTCTATACAATAAAAAGAAATACAAATAAAATGAAATGAAAGGTGGCAGAGAAAAGAAAAAAAATCTTATATATATAATTACAAAGATTAATATAAGATTACAAAGATAAAAGAATTGAAAACCTAAATCAGACCAACATGTTTCCTCCATGTGTTTTACAGACGATGTCACCTGGCACCACTGCCTACCACCTGCAGAGGGCGCTGCCAGGGGGGATCGTGTTAATGGAACTGGCTTTTCAGGTAATCTGCTGGACTTCCCAGCACTCCTGTGTATCGGCGTCTTCTTTATTTCACAACACGTTTCAAGGAATTGTGTACATTTTACCACTTCTGAGATGGTCGTACAAACTTTCACCAGCATCCCTGAAAATCACCTTCAATCCACAAGTTTTTCACAACACAGGAAGAAATCGCAAAACAAACAAACAAAAAAAAAAACCTTAATCATCACTGATTGATTTATAATTATACACACAGTATGATTAAATACAGATTTAGACCAGATTTTTCTCATTGTAGCAAGCGTGTTGAAAGAGTGCAGCCACTTGTTAACATTGGCAACCAAAGACCCTGATGACTCTCCAGTGGGAGGGGAGTGAGTTTAATCTGTGAATCGAGCTGCATAACAGAGCTGTTTTTTCTGTCCGATCTCTGAATTTCTGATCCTTTCTGATATTTTCAAAGCCTTTTTGTCGTGTCGTCTTGTCAGGGATCTTACTTCTGTGTGAAGCAGTACGCACTGGAGTGTTCCCGCATCCCCATGGGCCAGAGCGTTAACTCACAGGTAAGTGTTTCACAGGTTTGCTGTTACTTTGCATCACGTTATTTAGGAACTCTGAGTACAAACATAAACAGATTTGAAAAAGAATAGAAGCAAGAACAGGAAAAGAAGTAGGGCTGCAACTAACGATTATTTTAATAATCGATTAATCGGTTGATTATTTTTTCGATTAATCGATTAATTAGCCAAATCATTAAAACGCTTAATTACATGAATATGAGTAGATATAAATTAAGTTAACTCCTTAAGGACGCAAGTTATTGATAATGAATTAATCTGAAGATGATTTGTCTTATAGATTGATTAACAATTAATTAATAAGCAGCCATTTTTTTAAAAACCGGAGTTTTATCTTGAATCAAGAGGTTCTTCCCATAAAATGAAGGATTTTTTTTATAATCTCCTGAATTGTAAAACAGAAGCACATACACTCACCGGCCACTTTATTAGGTACACCTGTCCAACTGCTCGTTAACACTTAATTTCTAATCAGCCAATCACATGGCGGCAACTCAGTGCATTTAGGCATGTAGACATGGTCAAGACAATCTCCTGCAGTTCAAACCGAGCATCAGTATGAGGAAGAAAGGTGATTTGAGTGCCTTTGAGCGTGGCATGGTTGTTGGTGCCAGAAGGGCTGGTCTGAGTATTTCAGAAACTGCTGATCTACTGGGATTTTCACGCACAACCATCTCTAGGGTTTACAGAGAATGGTCCGAAAAAGAAAAAACATCCAGTGAGCGGCAGTCCTGTGGGCGGAAATGCCTTGTTGATGCCAGAGGTCAGAGAAGAATGGGCAGACTGGTTCGAGCTGATAGAAAGGCAACAGTGACTCAAATAACCACCCTTTACAACCGAGGTAGGCAGAAGAGCATCTCTGAACACACAGTACGTCGAACTTTGAGGCAGATGGGCTTCAGCAGCAGAAGACCACACCGGGTGCCACTCCTTTCAGCTAAGAACAGGAAACTGAGGCTACAATTTGCACAAGCTCATCGAAATTGGACAAGAGAAGATTGGAAAAACGTTGCCTGGTCTGATGAGTCTCGATTTCTGCTGCGACATTCGGATGGTAGGGTCAGAATTTGGCGTCAACAACATGAAAGCATGGATCCATCCTGCCTTGTATCAACGGTTCAGGCTGGTGGTGGTGGTGTCATGGTGTGGGGAATCTTTTCTTGGCACTCTTTGGGCCCCTTGGTACCAACTGAGCATCGTTGCAACGCCACAGCCTACCTGAGTATTGTTGCTGACCATGTCCATCCCTTTATGACCACAAAACCGTTACTAGCATGGTGTACCTAATAAAGTGGCCGGTGAGTGTAATACATATTTTAGCAATTTATCTTGCCAGTTGTATTAAATACTGACTGAAAAAAATGTGTATTTCTCCTACATGAAACTTAGCAGAAATTTAATAAGTTGCTGAATGAGGGAAATAGATTAAAAATAATAAAATGATTTTTAGGTGTAAAACAATTATTAATTTATTATAATTAGAATTTATTTACATTTAACATTTATTTTTTTCTCTAATTCTTTACTTTTTGTTTCATTCTTGTTGGTTCTGTTTGACTAAAACATCGTTTGACCCTAGGGCTGCCACAAATGATTATTTTTATAATCAATTAATCACCGATTATATTTTTTCGATTAGTCGACTAATCGGATCATACGTTAATTGAATATGAAACATACGGCTCGTGCCAGAATGCAGCTGCTATTATATAACCATAGATTTCAGCTACTGTATATGCTAACTAAAAATAACTGCTGTGGAAGGCAAGTTCTGCTCTGCAGATATTGYACAGGTTTCTCTTTCATTTTCTTAAAATGATCCCACACTTTTGAGCTCYGTTGYYRRGTAGCCATGATACCAGAGCCTGTCTGTATAATGTCTTGTGACGTCCACGGCCTGCCCCAGTTACCACTACTGTGCATGTGTGTCAAGGACAGAAAGGCAGATGTGGCAGTGGAAGCTGTCAAAGTAGTTTGGAGAGAAAAACAAAGTAAAGAAAAAAACAATTATTCGATTATTAAATTAGTCATCGATTATTTTAATAATCGATTAGTCGTCGATTAATCGATTAATCCTTGCAGCCCCAAAAAGAAGTTTATTTTGTGCCAGTTTTACTACATATTAACTGAAAAAATGATTAACATAGAAAACTTACAAGTACTTTTTTTAAATCGGATCTTAAAACATCTGAAACTGGATCTACGTCCTGGTTTGTTTATGTGTATGTGTTGTTTTGTGGAAAGAGGAGAGGAGAGCACGGAGATGGAGAACTGTGTCAGCCTCAATTTACTAAGTAACCACTTGATTTAAATAAAATCAGTTTAGGACAAAAATAATGTAAAGGCTGTTTCAATCTACGTTTGAATGTCTGCTCATTGTCATGATTATTTCCTGTTAAGTTCCATGGAAAGCTTGAACAATCCTGGATTTTTGAAGTTTTAGTAACATTTCATGGTCCTTGCCTGGTTTGTACTGGTTGCATATGAGGTACCCTGTACAGCCCAGGCTGTATTATTGCTACCTTTATTTCTATACAGAAGCTCTTGGTGTGAAGCGTCTTGTTTGGGTTTAAAGAGACAGCTTTAAAACGAGTTGATCTGAGACACACCTCAGAAAAGGGTTGAAAGAGGGGCTTGTGGAGTTGCAATAAGGAGGATTTCAGACCAAAGCATCGCAGTTCCACTTTATATAGACTCCAACTGAATGATTGAAATGTGAAAAAGAAGTATTAAAAAGCCTGATATGTCTCTTTTAAGATAAAAACATGAAGGTCAGTAAGATTTTTTTAATTATTATTTTTCATTTTGTAAACTGCTCTGGGATGTAAGGTTGGGGAGTTTTTGCGCTGGCGATGGCTGCTGTTCCACCTTAGTTTCTTCTGCTTCATTCATGATGTTTCTTATTACAGGGTAATAATGAGTTTCACCTCTGGCAGATGAGTAGTGATGGAAAGTTTCAATAACCCATCTGACTGAGGCATTCTGTCCGCACTGGTTGATGTTGTAATGTTTTTTTAATTCACTGATTATTTTTTTCTGCACATTTTGTTATGAACCACCACTCAGATCTATCAGGATAAAAACAGCACAGTAAACCACCTCACCACCATCATCTCTGACAGGGCCACAGAATTCAACAGCCATGTGTGAGATAAGAAATGTGGATTTATTCTTATTGTTACCAATCCAACAACAACACTAAGGCCCTCACTCTAAACTATATTCATGGAGTGGAGGGCTCTTTGTCTGGAGCTGATTTGAGGACAGAGTTTAAGGTGATAAATTAGAATCCTGATGTGAGATAATCCTGATTGAGCTGTGAAATGGGAGGATCGGTCCATTAGGACCACTAGAACCTGCACAGAACTAAACTTCATGGAAGTAATGATATGTTTAGAGTTTAAGCCATAACAGATATTGATATTCTGATTTTATCTCAGACAAGGCTGAGTGGATCCTTTCCTTGTTGCTTTTGGCTGCTCCCTTCCTCAGGGGTCGCCACAGTAAGCATATTTTGTGAATAACTGTCACGCTAAAAGAGTGATAATCAGTGGAAAAAAGTTTCAAATAACATTTGTTCATCTAAACCATTTGAACTGGTCATAATGAAAGTTGAGTTTGTGAAGCTGTGTTATGGTTACAGGATGTTACAGACTCTTTTTGCATCAAAGTGTACTTTTTTTTTTTGATAATGCACCTTTTTTATCATTTATATAATATAATGAATATAAAGTAGAGAACCTAACTGGTCATCTTCATCAGCTGAGTCTTTACTAATCTTTTTTTATTCAGACCTAAACACCAGCTGAATCTAACGTTAACCATCCTGAGTATTTGACTCTTCTTAATGGTTATTGTTAGATATTATTGCTGCCATCTCTTATCATGCTGAGAACGTTGTCTCTACAGTGAAGCACAGTGGTGGCAGCATCATGCTGTGGGGATGTTTTCCTTTAGCAGGGACTGGGAAACTGGAGCAAAATACAGAAAAACTTTAGAGGACTTTTGCCACAGCCACCCCTCCTGCCAGCTGGACAGTGTCCACAGAAACACTGATGAAGCAACAATCCGCTGGTTTATGAAGAACCAGTTCAAGGTCCTGGAATGGTCCAGTCAACCCACAGTCCTCAGTAAATGGCAAATAGACTGTACTTGTATAGCCCCTACCCATCCAGGACACTCAAAGCATCAGTGCCAATCACATTCATACACTGATGGGACACACATCAGAGGCATTAGGGGTGAAGTGTCCAAGGACACAACAGCTGAGACAGCTGGAACTGGGGATCGAACCGGTGACCTTCCGGTTCCAGGACGACTCCCCTAACCACTCTGCCACAGCTGCCCCTCCTGGTTTAAATGAAAGATGGCTGGACACAAGTGACACCTGTCCAACCTGAAGCTGAGGTCGTTTGGTGATGAAGAAAAGAGTCAAAAGTCAAATATAAGTTAAAATATGATGGACCAGAATCGGAGGTGGATCTGCGCAGACTTAATGCTGGAATTGATAGAAAAGCCACAGACAGATTACGTTTGAGGAGGTGAATACTTATGTATTGTTTGTTTCTAAATAAAAACATTTTGCTTTCAGAAGCTGGACATTTTAATACTGTGATTGGTTGATTAAAGGTAGCAGAACACCAAAATCAGTACATCAATCAAATTTTATTTATATAGCACTTTACAACAGTGACTATTGAACCAAAGTGCTTTCCATTAGTTCAGTAATAAAAATCAAAAGAGTAAAAACCAACAACATTGGTAGAAAAATAACAATAACAGTGTGCTAAAAGCAGTTCTAAACAGATGTGACTTTGGCTTAGCTTTGAACAAAAATAGGTCGTTGATCACGCGCAATTAACGGTTTAATGAATTCCGTCATTTTGGACCAGCAAATGAACGTTCATCCCACTGTTTGGACTTTGATCTAGATATTTCCAAAAGTTGTTGGTCAGCAGACCGAAGAGCTCTGACTGGACTGTGTGCTTTTATAAGGTCACACAAGAAGGTGCAAAACCATGAACAGCTTTAAAAACAAACATTAAAAGTTTAAAATCAACCCTAAAACGAACTGGGAGCCAGTGGAGGGAGTACTGTAAGAGGTGGATCTTATTGGAACACAGAGTTCAAGGTACTGTATGCAGCAGGTGGTTTTAATGTTGTGGCTGGTTGGAGATGATTCCTTCATGTGTCTAATGGGTTTAAACCTGTGATTCCCAAAGATACAGTCAGGAGACCCCAGCATGGGTCACAAAACATCAGGTTTGTGTCTTGAGGTGATTTCCAAAAACAAACTGATATTTAAAAATGTTTGCTGAGAACATTTTTTTCTCATAATTGTTAGAAGTGATAAAATCTATTGGTATAAGTTTATAAAGTAAACAAATAATGGCTGTGGTTTTTCTGCTCTTGTTTTATATATATTGGTCTGATTTGTATAATTCAGCCAAACACAGTGGAGGTCATGGTTTCTGTTGTTATATTGTGGGTCAGAAGCTGAAAAGTTAAATCACTAAATTAAAGTCTATAGTGTTCTGCCTTTCACCTGAAACAAAATAAAGTCCACCTGATGGAGTGTTGTGATGTTGATCTGTGGACTTATTCACCTCCTCTTTGTAAGGTGGGTTTATTGTTTATAAATGTTTTTGTATTCCTGTAGGATGTTCTGTCTTCCTTTCCATCCATCGTGTCTGTCTGTGTGTCTGCCTAGTCCCACCTCATGTCATCTCTCCATCAGGGCAGCATCGTCTCCAAACTCCGTTGCAAGCCGTTTCCCGATGCCACACCAGTATCTGACTGTGCGGTATGTCCCTGCCATTCTCACAGGAGGGGGGAATTACTCCAATCAGGCTCCTCCCCTCCTCGCCAACCTGCTTGCTGCCGTCCGTCCGTCCTGACCTCCTTCTGTCTGTCTCTTCTGTCTGGAAATGGAGGGAAATCTTTGTGTGGCCAGGCTGGTAGCAACATGCTGTCTGGAGCTAAAGAAATGATTGTAGGGCTTTAATTGCTGTTGGAAACGCAGGAATCAGTGTGTTTCAGGTCAAATCCAAATGTTGTGATTTCCTGTGTTCTCCGGCCTTTCAACAGGCTTCTGTCTCTGTGTTTGTTGGTTTGGCTTCTGTGGGTGTTCCAGCTGTCTCTGTGCTGTCCTGTCTGCCATCTCTGTGGAAATTCACTTCTACTTTCTCTCTGGTGTCTTTGTTGGTCTTGGAGAGTAGCAGGTGTTTCAAGAGGGCCGAGGGATCCGGCCTACTTCCTCTGCTGGTCCCAGTTGTTCTTTGGGTTTTGGAGTGTCATCCTGCAGCTGCTCTGCCTGCTGGAAATAATTTTATTTATTTCATTTTTGTATGTTTACTGAAAGGGTTTCAGGTTTTTTTTTTTGTTGTTGTTAGTTTCTTTTTTAATATTTTGATGAAGTACCTGATATGATCAAGTTTTACACAAAATACTGTGTATGAATAAATAACAGGATCAAACATCCATAGGTTATATACTAAAAAATGTGTCCTAAACACCTAAACATCTGTGGTTTGGTTTTTGTGCAGTCTTTCGAACATTTCACTAAAGAAGCTGGGAGTGGTCAAACTCGCATGTTGTTTTCCCTCGATATAACATGATGTTGTTATGAAATAACAATGAATTTTTCTCAAGGTCATTAGATCGTTTCCTCCATTATCACAAGAAAACATTGTTTTCTTGAGATAACAAGATGATTATCTTTTCTTGAATGCTCAGGATCAGTTTCTCAGTGTTCAACGCATAATTACACATACATGCCATGACACTTAATCTCCTGCTGTTGTGGCATGCATTTGAAGGATGGAATCAGGTTGAACACACACAACCAATCATCTCGTTATCTCGAGAAAACCATCTGGAAATGAACTTATTTCGAGAAAATCATAGAAAATTAACTAGTTAACTTAATAAGCATCTGGATATTAACCTGTTGTCTTGAAAAAACCATTGGGAAATTCACTCGTTATGTCTAGAAACCATCCAAAAATTAACTTATCTTGAGAAATCCATCTAAAAAGTAACTCTTTATCTTATCTTAAGAAAACCATTGGGAAACTGACAAAACCATCTGAAAATTTACTTATCTTGAAAAAACACTATCTCTAGAAACCATATGGAAACCAACTCATTATCTACAGAAAACCATTGGAAAAGTAAGTTATTTTCTTAAGAAAGCAATCAGGAACATATCTATGTGGAAAACGTCTCTCTTCCATATTTCACAACTGAAAACAGTATGTGAATTGTTGCATTGAACGAGGTTTAAGTTGCATGATGTATAGGTAAAGGCAGCTATATTGCATTGGTAGACGATTTAGCTCATTCTGGATCTTGTCAAAATGTGTTGAATAATATATTATGCCTTATAGATAATACCCTAATCTGTCTATGTCTGTCTAAAAAGTCCCAGTTTAATTTGGTACAGAGCAATGCTAACAACACAATCCTAAATCACTGTTAAATAAACATTCAGTGTTCTGAAATGTTAATCTGTCATATCCCAGTCTGAACCTGAAGTGATTTCAGGACTTTATCCTATCCAGAAACTGAGCAATGCTCTGCTCTGAGAAGGAATACCACACATTGTAGGAGAAAAAATGACACATTAGCTCCTTTTTGCACATTTCCAGACAACAAAAGTGTTTCTTTTATCATAAGGTCAGAAAAAAACAAATAGGTGACATAAGAAGGGCATGAAAGGGTACACAACTGCCACAGCACTGTCAAAAAGAGTTCCCCACCTTACAGATTTCTTCTGGCTCCTTATGCTCATTATTGTCAGCAAATTTGTTCTGTGATGAAAGACAAACAGAAGAGTTTGACTTTAATGTCCTTCAGTCAGTAATGTCCTTCAGTCAGTCTAAAACACCTGTCAGTACTCGTCACAGCTACAGATGGTACGATTTTATTTATTTACTCAGAATAACTTTTGTTTACTTTTGTAATTTTGTAAAAAATTTTGTACTTTTGTAAAAAGGTGAAACGTTTGAACCTGGTTAGGTTATTATAGGGTGTTTTATTGCTTTGTGGGTCGATTGTTTTTATTAGAATCATTAAAAGATAAAGCAAGGTAAAAACAAAAAAACAATATTGCAAAAGATTAAACCCAGCCAAAGAAATCAGTAATGTGAACTTTTCAATCTTAAATTGTTAAGAGGTATGAATCAGTTCGATTTTGTTGTAGATATAAAACATGAATATACTAAAAACAAAATGTTTCATGTAAAATTTATAAGAAATAAAACATTTCACTAATGAAAATTCCATATCTTTATGTCCAGCAGACAAAGATAAAAAAATCCCATCAAAATTCTTTGTCTCAGCTTATTCTTTAACAAGACAATTTTTTCTTTCTTTCTTTTTTAACCTTGTTTTATTTATTTAAATATGTTCAAATTTATCACTGTGTTCTACTTTAAAATGAACTTTGTTATAAATGTATGTATTCTTATGTTATTATTATGTCAAAATATTTACATATAGACTTTCTCCCAAAATAGTCAGAGTTGTTGCGGACGTCCCCAACTCGTCTGATTTTTTTCCATGTCAGTCTTTAAGTCAAGCAGAAAACTTATCCAGGTATTAAAACTACTCCGATGATAATAACCCCCCTTTAATAATGATTATTTATGTATTTTCCAGGCACGTAGTTCAGTTCTATTCCACAATCAAGTAACTATGTTATGTTTATGGTGACTGGGGATGGATAAAGAACACATGAGCTGAGGCCTCATTAGTGGGCCCATTGTTCTCCCAAAAAGACACTGGTCTTTATTCAAACCTTCTCATCCCTCAGATGAAGGACATGAGGTTAGAGACACTCAGTGTTCTGAGCTTCTCAGGATCCATAAGGGGGTCCCCAAGAATTCTTTTCCTTTGACCACTCGGTCAGGCAGTGGCCTAAGTAGTGCAAAAAGGTCTCTAATTCAGTGCCACAGGCGTCACACAGACCATTGTCATGGAGTCCCATCACCATTTTGTGGTGATTGAGCAGATTCAATTCAATTCAAAAATACTTTATTGATCCCAGAAGGAAATTAGGTTGTACCCAGTTATAACTCCAACCAGTGTGCTTAAAGTCTTCCTTGCCAAGGAGATGAGAGCTTTCCCAAACCTTAGATTTGGGCCGTTAATCAGTTCCTGTGCCTGTCTACAGTCCGTCAGCTCCCTCCAGAGGACTGAGTGTTGATGTCTAATCCAGGCCTGTAGGGCAGTCCTACAGACTGTTGTTGAGGTACCTACGACAGGCTGTGGGGTCAGATTTATAAAGGATTGCGTGGAAACTATACTAAAAGTGAACGTATGGCCAAAAGGTGAAAATGGCGTACGCCAAAAAAAAAATCTGATTTATAAAACCATACGCATGTTTCTGCGCACCTTTCCTTTATAGATCACAGCTTCACCTCAGAGTTTGCGCACAAGGTCCCGCCTCAGGTTCTACCCTCTACACGCCCACACTCAACCATAAACAGCCAATGCAAAGCACCTTATGAATGAGGTGTATTTAAATCAGTCAGCTGATCAATGTCAAAAGAAGTGATTGGTCGGTTCAAACACGCGCTCCGTTGCATGTCTGGAGGATGACAGGTGCTGACAGCTGCTCACATGAACAGATTATCTGTAACAGACACAGATTTTCCCTCATTTTGCAGGTTTACAGATGTTTACAGCAATTTCATCATCTTTTTTTTTTTCAAAAACTCAGCTTCAAATTAATTTTCTCTCAGAGCCTGTAGGACGATTAAAACAATAAATTAAATTAAATAAGTCAGATAAAGTTAGAAATAAGTTCACTGCTCTTCTCCCCCGTCCTCCCCCTCCTGCCTGCTCTGTTATCTGCAGCTGATCGTCCCCCCCACCCCCCGCCACACACACACACACACACACTCACACACACACACACACGCGCGCGTGCATGAGAAATACGGACTTTAAGAAGTGAACTTTTATAACATCCACACTGGCAAGGGTGGATGCGCCCTGCACGAGTACCCAAAGCGTGACTTTTGCTGTTGAAATGTCTCTTGTCGGGGAAGGGTCTGTGGGGTCATCTGAGGAGGAAGGAGATGAATGGATGCGTGAACTTTTATTTAAGATTTAAGTTTTTTATTTCAAAGGTCCTTACGGCTCAGCAGCAGAAGCATAAATTATACTGTTGAAGGGGACCTATTATGCAAAATTCACTTTTTAAAGGTTTTTTTACTCAACTTTGGGTATGTACTTCTTAAAAAAACAGTCCTAGGACCAAAAAAAACCACCCAGGAGCATATTTACTGTAAGTAAATGTATTTTTAATGTATATTAACGACAAGTTTTATACTTCCGTCATTTTGTGATGTCACTAGCCGTACGACAACCCACCAGAACCTGCGTTCAGCCCCTTATTTAGCAACCCCCAGGTGAAGCTCCACCTCCTCCGTATAAAAAGGCATCACGGTTGTTGTGTAATGCGCAGCTCATTTCACAACAAGTCTCCAATAGGGCAATGGGTAGAGTGTTGGACCAGAGAATGGGTGACCAGGATTCGAGACTGGCACGGACACAATATAATTATTTGTTTATTTTCATTCGTTATGAACACGTTTTCTCATGTACCTCTATTGTTTAGCTTATTAAAGCCTTGTTAAAGCCTATTTGTTCGAGTTTCTGAGGTATTTTCACTGCTTCTGCTTCCTGCTCTGGTAACAACATGCAGAGTGAGCGCAGAGCAGAGGAGGGAGAAAAAAAAAGAAGCTGCGACCGACTCTGCCTCTGGGTCTCATATGGTTGTACAACGAAGCTTCTGCTATTATTAGCCATGCTAACGTAAACGCTGGCTTTAGAGGGCGGAGTTAATGTCAACAGATTTTTGGAGGGCGTTACCAACAGAGCTCATTAACATAAACAGCTCTTCNAACATAAACAGCTCTTCTGAACAGAAGTCAGAACAGGCAGAACTAGAAAATGGGAAATTTTATTATCTGAGAATTATTTTGTGCATTAAATTGAATGAACATGGTCTGGATAGCCCACAGACATACCATAAAAATTTCTAGGACCCATAATTGGTCTCCTTTAAGAAAGCTAAAATCTATCTAAAATCTAAGTCTGATTCTGAAGGTAAATTAAATATCTGACAGTGATCATYACACAGTGTGGCTCTAATTCCTCACTTCACCATCTGTCGCAGTTTCCCGTCTCCAAAATGAGCATACGCATGGGTCAAAGTTGGCGTGAGGGACTGCACATTTTCACGTCAAGTTTGGATTTTATAAATCACAGCCTTTGCGTGAAAAGTGGCGTATGCAAATTTCTGGGCTCGTTTTGTGCGTACGCAAGCTTTATAAATCCGACCCCTGGTCTTTTGAAGTGGGCCTATCTTCCAACTTGTGCAAGTCAGTCCTCATAACTATTCAAGCTTCCTGGATAAAGTCTACGCCTGCATGTATCCTGTTAATGCAAGTACACAGCAATGTACTGGCATCTTTACAGTGATGAAAATTGCTCTTTATAATTCCATCATTCCAAAAAACCACAGAGGCTAGGACCCTTTTCTCCATCAGAGGACACAAACATGTCAGTGTCCTCATCACCTAGCACTTGTGAGGCCCTAACTGCTCCCCTATGGGGTGCAGTCAAGGGGCTGCACTCGTACTGGGTACTCACTCCCCGTAAACCCAGCAACAGCAGAGGTAGAAGCCCTCGTCATTGCCAAGCCCCAAGGCACTAAACCCTCTGGTTGCCCAGGACCCAACACATAGACATCAGGTCCCGAGGCTGAAGTAAAGGTTGTTTCAGGCACTGTACTTTTAGCCTGTCCTGCCTGGTTCCCTGCCTGAAACATAAAGTCTATTTTCTCACAATTCTGAGCCTCCAATAATCACAGCTCTGTAAGATCCTACCTTTGCTGAAGTTCTTCGAACATGGACTCTAACCAAGCCCCTCATTGATTATTTCATATACATGAAGGCTGTGAATGTTTTTATATTTTTTTTCTAAAGTCAGAACATGTTGGCTGTATACTGAAATTGTTTTCTTGATACTGCAAACATTGCTGGAGTCTTTACCTACTGTATTTGCTTTTGTTTCTCTCTGAGCATCTTGAAGGAGGTGAAGTTGTACCAGAAAATGCATGATAAACTGCAATCCTCCACTAGAAGACTGATTGTTCATCTTGAAATACATAAAATATCAAATACAGTACTTGAAGGATTGGGACCTGTTCATTACCCCTCAGCTGCTGACCAGTGTGTGTCTCTGTTGTAGCTCTCCATGCTCTTCACTGAGGAGTGTGATAAGGTCCGGGACCTGATGCACATCCATTCCTTCAGCTACGACTTCCACCTGCGAGTGGTTCACCAGTACCTGGTAGGCTGCCACATGACGCTGCGGCAGGGCTACCAGCTCACCGACTTCCTGGACGACTTCATCTCCCATCACCCAGATATCCCAAAGTTTGGCCACAATCACGTCTTTCAAGGTGACACAGGTTGAGTTTGAGCATATGATACTGCAGATGGACATGAAAATTATTAGTAATAAGTAACAGGGTTTCCCTTTGGTATAACCAAACTGTTATCTGATTCCACTTAACAAGTCAAGTATTCTGCATGGAGAAAGCCTCCAAAGCTTTATGTTTACCCAAAGTATCTGTCACTGTAAAATGCTTTACCATACCAATTTGAATTCCAATTAGCTGGTTGCTATGCTAATTAGCCACACTCCATTTTGCAAAGCAACTTCAACTTCCGGAGGTTTTAGAAAACCCGCCACTTCCTTCTTAACCAACTCTAATATGATCAACTCAAGTTTGGTGATAATTTCAGCTCATGAATTATTTATTGTTATGCTAATGCTCTAGAGCAGGGGTGTCAAACTCCAGTCCTCGAGGGCCGCTATCCTGCATGTTTTAGAGGTTTTCCAGCTCCAACACACCTGATTCAGTGATTGAATTAACTCTTCAAATTGGGCAGAAGCCTGTTAATTACCCAGCGATCAAAATCTGGTGTGTTGGAGCAAGAAAACCTCTAAAACATGCAGGATAGCGGCCCTCGAGGACTGGAGTTTGACACCCCTGCTCTAGAGTATCTCTTCATTAGTATCTGGGTTCTTTGGGGAATGTGGATACAAGTTTTGACAGTGGGGCTCTCTAAATCCTCAGCCATACCTGGCAGACTAAATTTTTTGTGCAAAGACTCGATATTTATAAAGTCACAGTCTTTTATAGGAAATATTTGACAGCAGAAGGAAGCAGATGTCCTCATATGTGCTGAGCATCAGTTATCTCTGAGTCACTGATGAGAAGCAGAGTGAAGCATCTTAAGGCGTTTGCTACAGTGAGACTGGGATAACTGGGATTGTGTTTCTTGCAGGGAGCTTTTCCATTTCCACGGGGATGATAACAGCTCACCAGCTCTACAACTACATCACCGATCATGCCAGCACCTACGGCATGAAGCCCCTCCGCATGTCCAAGAGTACAGTCTGTACTGACAACAAGAAGGGGGGTCCAGACCTGCATGAGTACGCCCTGGTGGCTCTGTGGAACAGGTCAAGCCAGTCTCACCCAACCTTGAAGAAATCTGACTCTCTGCATGTTGGTGGTTTCACTCCAACCTCTTTATCCTTCTTCCTGTCCTGCTTCACATCTAGTTCGGGGTCTTACAAGGATCTGGAGGGTCTTCACCACCATGATGATTTTGATGTCTCTCTGGTGGTGTGCCACAACGCTGCCCCGTTTGAAGAACAGTCAGATGGGGAAAGGCATTTACTCAGGTAAGAACCACATTAATTAAAAGAAGGAATGCATATTGCCCGCTCATGAGAAATGATAGTCAAGCCTTGAAAATAACATTATGCAGTGTCCCATGTTGTCACTCAAAGTGTGTGATAGGATAGAGTCTCATACAGTGGCAGACAGGTGCAAATGCACCTCAAACACATGAATGATGCAAACTTCAAAACCACAAGTGCAAAAAAAACAAAACAATAAAACAGAAAATTACATAAAATAGACAGAAGAAAAAACATACAACCAATGAAACAAGGAAAATGCTGCAAGAAACACTGCAAACTCACTCTACAAAACAGAAGTGTTCCAGAACACTAGATGGACTAGACCTAGTCATGAAGGACCAGACCCTCTGTAAAGGCATCAAGGAAGACAAAACGTACCTTTTCTTTCTTTCCTCAAATGCATCCCATTGTCTTGACTGGTTTAACTACATGAAATTAATTTTCATAAAAATGAGCTCAGGTGCATCCTGTTTCTGAAGTCCGCCTATGGTAAATTCAGTTCATTAGACATGAATTTGAAAGGAATACACCTGTCAAGGTCCCACAGTTCAAAGTGCACATCAGAGCACAAACCAAATATGAAGTCAAAGGAATTGTCTCTAGACCTCTGAGACAGAATTTTTCTTAAAGCGCACGTTTGGGGAAGGGTCCACAAAAAATTTCTGCTGCTTTGAAGGTCCCAATGAGCACCATGGCCTCTATCATCTGTAAGTGGAAGAACCTTGGAACCACCAAGACTTTTCCTAAAGCTGGACAACTGTCTAAACTGATGGATTGGGTGAGAAGGCAGGGAGGTGACCAAGAATCCAGTGGTCACTCTGTCAGAGCTCCAGTTCCTTTGTGGAAAGAGAAGAACTTTCCAGAAGGCCAATCCACCAATCAGCCCTATATGGTAGAGTGGCCAGACAGAAACCACTCTTTAGTAAAAGACATGAAGACACACCTGAAGGACTCTCAGATCACAAGGAAGAAATGTCTCTGGTCTGATAAGACAAAGATTGAACTCTCTGGCACAAATGTCAGGCGTCTGGAGGAAACCAGCTCGTCACCAGTCCAGTACCAGTGAAGAATGGTGGTGGCAGACTCATGCTATGGGGATGCTTTTCAGCTGTAGGAACTGGGAGAGTGGATATTGCTGCATCTTTCCCCTTTGACCAGACTAGAGACAACCTGGTCGAAGATCTGCTCCAGGGTGGTTTTAGTCTGGAGCGACAGTTCATCTTTCAGCAAGATGACGAAAATAAATGAAAATAAGTTTTAATCAATATAAATCGTAACTTTTTTCACAGAAAATGTAACACTAATTTGATCCTTATGTAACTGTAATACATTAGACTTGCATTTATTTTGTAATTAAATTACATAACACCATTATGTGTAACTAGTTACACCCCAAATTTATGAATAAGTGGTAAGAACTAGTTGGTTTTGAATGTTTCAAGGGAATCAGTTTGGATCTCAGCTGGACTTTTAAGTATGAATTTTAAAGTCACTGGTGGCTGATTGGTTTTAGGATCATGTTTCAGAGAATCAGACAACCTGATGGATTAAGACTTTTTGTCATTAATCTTTCTGTGTTCCAGGCTGCGTTTTTACGTCATCATGACCAGTCAGAGGGAGCTGTTCCCCCGCCTCACTGCCGACATGCGCCGCTTCAAGAAGCTCCCTCTAATCTACCGTGATCTCTGTGAGCCGGGCGGGAGGCTCCCCACGGATCAAGCAGAGGCTTCTGGTTCCGCTGGGGACGATCGGGACCTTTGGGAAGAAACTTCATCTGAAGCTTCGGCCTCCTCGGCCCCAAGCGATGGCAACGAGTTTTACCCTCTGGCGGGGGGCAGACCGGGGGCTCAGGGACTGCTGTACACTTCCCCTCTGTTCCCTTTGCTCCACAACGAGGTGGCGTCAGCCCGCAGACACATCCAGGCCAGCGTGGAGCAAGCCATGGGTCACTGCCGCAGGGACAACCTGTGGAGGAGGCTGTTCCACGGAGAGCACGTGGCTCTGGACAAACTGAAGCTGGCCAAGCTGTCCTTCACAGAGCTGGAGGAGCTGCTGCAGGCCGTGCAGAGCCGCTCGGTGGGAGAGATCGACCCACAGCTGGTACGAGTCCTGGCTCTTTGCGCTTCAACCTGGCAGAAACACATTTTCACCTAGAGTTATGGTGGCCCATAAAGTGGCAGTTGTAATTAACTTTAATGTTTCATGTTTCACTTCTAAAAGCGAAACGTCACGTTCCTCGTCTCATTGCTACGACTGAGCAGTGCTAACAAATAATAACTGAGCTCTACCTGGTATTTCCTGCAAAGAAACAGAGTTTTAACACTTCTTATAAACACTGAAAAGTACTGCATAGCTGCTATCTTGAATTCTGAATTTTCCCACGTTCTAACAGGGAATTTCCACTGAAGGGGCGTTCCAGTACAAATTTACAACTTGTAAGTGGGAAATTCCCATTTACCAGTACAACTGGGCCATAGCAGAAGAAACTGGCAAAAATGCAGTGAAATGTACTGTAGATTTTTTACACAAGTTTCATGATTAAATAATCAACAAGCATTATGGGAGGTAGTTTATTGTCAATGCTGACTGTAAAGCAGCTTATTTTAAGACATTAATACATCTTTGAAGCAGGCCACATAAAATGAAAAGCCTTGAGTTTGACACATGCTTTAGTAGGAAAAAAACCTGCACTTGTTCAAGCACTAGTCTTATTTAACACCAAAGCTGTCCCACAGTTTAAAGTGCTGCTGAACAGCCAGCATTGTGGGGTTGGAAACATTTTGGTTTAAATTAAGAGTTTAAAACATTAAAGTTACATTTGCAAGATCTATTTTACATAATTGTTTATTACTCAGACGTCTTCGGGTTAGACACAAAGTTTGTTCACATTTATAAACTTTCATCTTGTCAGTTTAAGAGGTTCTGCAGTAGCTTGTTGGTGAAAATGTGCTCAGATAGCTAAAACAGCTGACAGTGTGCAGAAGTGTTTGGTCCAAAACGCGTAGCGAGTCCAGTATAAACAGCGTGAATGCTGACTCAGCGCTCAGAGGACTGAAAAAAATCAAAGGAATTCAACCAAGTCTTCAGTTGTAGGCTGACATGTTAACCAGGACTGTGGTGTGTTGTAGGACTGTTTCCTCACAATGGGTCCAGCATGGTACCATGGTCTCATCAAAGTCCTGCTGAATCGGTTCCCTCAAAGCTGCAGACACTTTGATGACAACGGGATCCAGTATCTGGTGAGAACCTTTATTTATTTATTTTTTTTCTTTGAGCGTAAATAAAGTGAGCTTCTTTAGGATTCTGCAGGACTGAAGAAGTTTAGTTGGTCCTGTCCTTCGATGACCGTCTCATATCTTAGATCTGATTGTAAACATGGTTACAGAGACCAGTACAGGGTCTGTGGGACCTTCAAACCTGTTATCAGCACACAGTTCTAAATCCTGCCTCTCTGATGGTATAGGGGTGCATTGGGGCTTTTGCCATGTGCATAGGCACTAAATGGAGCATCTCATGCAGCTACACTCGTCAGTTTCACATTGAAATAATTTTAAAAAACTTGTATTCTGTCTTGTTTTAGGCTGTCCTGAATCAAAAGTTCACCGACTGCTTTGTTCTGGTCTTCCTGGACAACCAAGCTGGAAAAACAGTAGGTTGATTTCTAATCGGACTTTCTTCCTTTAACCGTGACCAGAATCTTAAGCCTCTGTTTGACCGCCACAGAGTCTGAAGGTGGTGTTCCGGGAGCCGCTGCCCTCGCAGCCGCAGGCCGGCGGGAGTCCTCCTCCTCAGCTGGTGTCCATGTACCACCACCTGGAGTCGGTCATCAACACAGCCTGTTACAACCTCTGGTCCGGACTCCTCTAGAACCCAACTGTACCGACAGGTCAACGTGCCAAATCTGCATCAGATCTGCACAGAGCAAGGAGGTGGAGGTTGGAGGCCTCACTGCCATATTTGGTTCCTACAAGTGCCTTTTGGTCATTTGTGTTTCTTAAAAGCTGCTGCTGTTCCATCAGCTCTGCACAGTGAACCCAATCAGTTTACAGACAGATCATGACTTGTGTGTTCTCAAACCTTGTCATACTCAGAACCAGAACCATAGGTGGGACTGCTACTTCACATACAGAACTCTCATATTTCTGCTTTGAGCAGGAGAAACAGAACACACTTGACTGACACGTTCTGATATCACAAACAGATCTATCAGTATGCAACAGAACCTGAGTTCTGATGAGAACACTGAACCCTAAACACTGCACTGACTGAATGATGTATATTGTGTAAATACAGAATAAAAGATGTAAAATGTACAATAAAGCAAGAGAGAAACAAAAAGGTTTGAATTACATCTTTGAATTTGTTGACGCACACACACGTCTCTATATTTGTGTGGATTTTAATTAATTTCTACATCCTGACCCACAAAGGGGTTTTACTAACCATATGTCCTCATAAGTAGAGTATTATGTCAAATTGTGTCCACACAAACAAGTATTCAGACTCCTCACTTTATGCAGTTTTATGTTGCAGCTTGGCATCCTTCCTTAAACTGTTTTCCCACTGATCAACTTTTCATAAAATTATTTAAACTTTATTTATTTCACATTAATTCACTACAAAAATCAACTCGGAGCACTGTACAACAGAACATTAAATCACAAATCATTTTGGATCCTAATTTAAATCATGATAATCAAGCATGGATCAGTTTTTCTGCATTTTGTGATTATTAAAATTAGAAACATCTCACAATGACAAAGTGAGACTTTTTATACAATTTTATAAACTTAATGAAAATAATCAACTCAAATTATATCTCCATTAAAACCCTTTGCTCAGTCTTTTGAGGCACTCTAATGGTTCCAGCCTTTGGATTTGGCACACCTGTGCTTCAATATTTTCTGTTCTTTGTTGACTGTCTCAGTCTGGTCGATGGGGAACTTCAGAGGCTGATCAGATCTTCAACAAACCACAGCAAGAAGGCAGGGCGAGGCTGAGGATCAGTGAGAAAAATGTCCTTATTGTTTAAAAAATAAATAAAAAGAACCATCTTAAAACCTGGAGGACAGTTTTGTGCTCCACCATCAGAGCTCATAAAGCTTTGTGTGTCTGGTATTGTTTGATCCAATCCAGACCCTTCTCTGTGGATTCTGCAGTAAACAGAGAATATTATCAGATGTCTTTTTCTAAAAATAACACCATCATTTATAAAATACAACAGAGATTCACCTAATGGTTTGTATTCACAGCCTATGTACCCTTGGTAGCCCAGTTTTTCCAGAGTGTTGAAAAGGTAACTGTAGTTCAGCTCTCCGTCACTGTCAGGTTCATTCCTGCCAGGAACCTGAGCAACCTGGACATGACCTGAGAAACAAGACATATAACATGACAGTGACCTGAGAAACAAGACATATAACATGACAATGACCTGAGAAACAAGACATATAACATGACAATGACCTGAGAAACAAGACATATAACATGAAAAAGACCTGAGAAACAAGACATATAACATGACAATGACCTGAGAAACAAGACATATAACATGAAAAAGACCTGAGAAACAAGACATAACATGAAAAAGACCTGAAAAACAAAACATATAACATGAAAAAGACCTGAGAAACAAGACATATAACATGAAAAAGACCTGAAAAACAAAACATATAACATGACAATGACCTGAGAAACAAGACATATAACATGAAAAAGACCTGAGAAACAAGACATATAACATGACAATGAACTGAGAAACAAGACAACATGACAATGACCTGAGAAACAAGACATATAACATGAAAAAGACCTGAAAAACAAAACATATAACATGACAATGACCTGAGAAACAAGACATACTGTATAACATGAAAAAGACCTGAGAAACAAGACATATAACATGAAAATGACCTGAGAAACAAGACATTTAACATGAAAATGACCTGAGAAACAAAACATTTAACATGAAAATGACCTGAGAAACAAGACATATAACATGAAAATGACCTGAGAAACAAAACATTTAACATGAAAATGACCTGAGAAACAAGACATATAACATGAAAATGACCTGAGAAACAAGACATATAACATAAAAATGACCTGAGAAACAAATTATATAACTTAAAAATGACCTGAGGAACAAGACAAGACATACACTCTGAAAATGACCTGAGAAACAAGACATATAACATAAAAATGACCTGAGGAACAAGACAAGACATACACTCTGAAAATGACCTGAGAAATAAAAAATCTTTCTAAGGACTCGTCCTACTAGATTAAGACTCTACAATGAACTACACAATCAATTAAAATGTGGCTGAATCACACACACGTTAAGAAAATGATGCAAAACTTTAATGAAGAACAGAGTTGCTGAAACTGTGAACCTGGGGAGGGGAAACAGGAAGCATGATACAGAAGATGAGGGAGGAGCTTTCATCTGGACTCATCTGAAATGATTGACCTGGTTTCAGTCATTTCACATCATTACACTAGATAACTCTCATTTATACAGTCCTAACGGGCTGAGGTCCATCTTATTTTTGCACTTTTCTACGAAGAACTAACTGTTGTCCATCTATCAGTTCCTGGTTTGTGGACTGTGAGGGAAAAGAGTGTTCAGCTTTACTGCCCCCTCAACACAAAACTCCTGACGAGCTGATCTGAATCTACCAGACCTCACGTATTTTGGAGCTTCTTGTGAAAGACAGTGAAACTTCAGACATTGCCTTTTTTTAAGACAGTTAATCATTGTTTTATAACGTGTGATGCTTGGCCAAGTGGTCACCTTTAATAATTAAAAAAGAAGATTTAAAAGGTAAGACTTGTCATCTTATGATTCAAGATCTTACTCACCTATGATGGGGAAATATTTGAATAAGTTCTGTGTCAAGTTTCCGTCCATTATTTGCCAGTGAAACACGTCCTGAAACAGAACAGATACCTGCTGAAAGGAGGAGCAGAAAACTTTTCTCCATCTATACATCTATCTATCCATCACCTTTAACCGTTTTTTCCTTTCAGGGTCATGGGCGTCACTGCGCGAGGGGTCAGGGTTTACTCTGAACAGGTTACAAGTCCATCACAGGGCTAAATTTTTCCCTCAATCTAAAACAACTTTTTATTGCACCTACCATTTGTAGCTTGAGATTTGGTTTCCCAACCTTCTCCAGTATCGCAGCCGCTGCAAAGTAACAAACAAAAACAAAAAGAAATTATACGTATTAAACTTTAGATCAAATAACCAGTGTCCTAAAAGTTGATGTTTAACACAGAAACATCACACCTATTACTTGGGCTTTATAAGTGCTTTATATGAATCTGCATCTGCTGCCGCTTATCTGTAGCGATGTGCAGTCCCATCATGTGTTTGTAATGGTGCAGACAAAATGTAAAATACCCTTTTAGGTGTATATTTAATGTGTAGTCCAAAGGTGGATGTAAATGCAAAGCATCGGTGATTTGATGGGATGTCAGTGTCAAACCTGCTGCAGACAAACACAGACTTACCCTGATGAGGAGAGTCCAGGAAATATCTGGGGTCAGTGATCCTGGTGTTGATGGGCTCAATCAGTCCAGTGAGTCCCTCCTGTGAGCAACATTCAGATTATTACCGTCAGCTTCACGGCTTTATTATTTACACAGCATGCTGTGTAATGTTTGTTTCTGTAAAACAAAACCAGTCATTTGAACATGTATAAGAAGGTTTATTTAACAAACACAACAAATCTAACAGAATAACTTTAAGAGTTACAGATAATTAACTCAAATATGGAACTTTAGCAGCAGAAATCAATAAATGATCACAAGTGAAAAAATATGTTAAGGTTAAAAAATAAACCTAATAAATTAGGAGAGTGTGTGTGTGTGTGTGTGTGTGTGTGTGTGTGTGTGTGTGTGTGTGTGTGTGTGTGTGACTTTGT